ATCTCCCCCTCCTCTGCTAGGATGGGTTGGGGGAGCAGAGTTGTGTAGCAATGCATGTTATTCTTACTTACGTCGGCACATGGTTGGTTGCATATATGCGAATGTTGAGGCAGAAATGTCACTGTGTGGGAACATATTGGATCCCACCATTTTTGTGGCTGTGTGCTTCCACTTAGCTGCATTTCAAGCTACTGGAGGGTGTGGCTTTTTTTAGCTTTAGGTTCTTACTAAGACATATGTTCTTCTCTGTTTGAACATTCATTGTGTCTGCACATGGGTGGGTATGTTTTCGTGTTGTATGGGCTTCTGTCTGTTGGTCTATGCACACACATTTGCTCCAATTTGTTCTCCAAAGAACAAAGTTTTGAAAAATACTGGCAAAAAAATCAAGGGAGTTCAATGTGTTTGAAGGCATGTAGAAACATGAGAGTTCCTTTCCTTTTGTGGGACAATACTGTTCAGATGTATCTTTTAAAAAAAGGAACAGTCCTTAAGGACATAACATCTAGCTGCATGACTGCAATGCAACAGCTCTCATAATGGGAGACGAGCTTCTCATAGAGGTATGAGCAGGGGAGGCCTCTTGGATCAAACTCACAAATATTCTGATTTTGGAGGCTGGAATGATAAAGATTACATGGTCTGATCACTCCAAACAATATAGAGAGACAAAGTTTAAGCCATCATACATTTACTCTCAGGCTTTGGGCAACTGAGGCTTACTTTTGTTCAAGTCAGTTTTGGATAAAGTAAGAAAAGACAGGGCTATTTATAACACATTTGAAATTCACAGATTTGAAATTGACTTCAATAATGGTGATAGGACATCAGCCTCCACCTCATCTGAAGGTAGAGGACTAGCTTAGTTTAGCATAGGCTATGCAGAACTCTGTCCTCCAGCAGAGGCAACAACTGGAAGGGCACAAAGTGACAGCTGCCTTCTCCACGCCATTTGGCTCCAAGGCAACTACATCACTCTGTCAAAGGGCAGGATTGGCACTGGGAACAAAGACTTTATCCCCAAGGATAGTGAGCATGTGCAGACTGTAGCAAACACATAGACATATTCTATGATTGCTAGCCGCCCTTCCACCAAGGACTTTGGGGTGGCTCACATGGGGATTATTCCTTTTTATCCTCCTATCAATCTTGTTATGAGCCTCTGTTATCTAACATGCTCTCCAACACAATCACATTCCTGTCTCAAGGATTCAATACAAACTCAACTAATGGCATAAACGCATACGCTGAGGAAGAAAAATGTGCTAACCTGTAAGGTAAAGAGACAGTGATTTAAGCCCACAAAGCACCATTGAGAGTTGTGGAGCTTCAAGTTGGCTCTTGTCATTCTCCATCTGAAGTGGCAATGGGATTAGAACCCAGGACTCTCACACAAAGGGCTCACTTTCTAACCACTTAAAAGGGCTCACTTTCTAACCACTTACTTCCAGCAGCAGGGTAAAGGCCAGTCAAGTGTTTCGCACACTAAGAATAGCATGAATGTTTGCATTTATACACACAGAGAAAATAATTCTTGGAATATTGCTCCCTCACAGTATTTCTCACACACACCCAAAAAAGCTTCACCCATCATCCCCATGGCAGTGTTTCCCAAAAAATGAGCAATTTCTACTTGTCTCCCACATGTACTTCCCTGGATGGGTGCTACCTGAACGTGTGCCACATCTGAAGGTCAAGCACCCCTCAGAAAAAGGCAAAGAGGTCCTGAAAGCAGGAAACACTTTATCATAGTTGGCAAAAAAAAAACCACTGATGCTTTGTGCAGGATGTTGCCATGGGAAGGAGATCTTCTGGCAATAATGTTTGAGCAAAGTCAGTACTGTATTAATATGACACACAAGAGGTCTACCCTCTGGCAATAATGTTTGAGCAAAGTCAGTATTAATATGACACACAAGAGGTCTACCGTGTTTCTGCGAAAATAAGACATAAACTGAAAAAATAAGCCCTAGTATGATTTTTCAGGATGCTCACAATATAAACCTCACCTTATCACAAAAGTAAGTCCCTGTTAGGTGAAACCCCACCCTCCAACCTTGTGCAGCATTGTGCAGCAACCGGAAGGAGATGACATGACTATGAAATAAAACATCCCCTGAAAATAAGTCCTAATGCATTTTGGAGCAAAAATTAAGACAAGACTCTGTCTTATTTTTCGGGGAAACATGGTGGATAGGTTCAAAATTGTTTTCCTAGCAGCCAATAAATATACCTAGATTTTCTAGGGAATTTGGTTTTTTTGGAGACAGTTAATGAACAACCAATAAATAGACCCACCAGGCCCCTGTTTTTCCTCTTCTTATTTCCACTGAGACCAGTGAGATACACTAGTCAAAACATTTTTTGTTTTGGCTTACACTATTTTCACATGAACAAACATATAAGTGCAGGCATTAATGAAGTGGTTATTTAGGTGGATGTACCATACCTCTATCTGTCTTGGAATGCCACAGCTCAGTGTTTTCCCCCCTCTCTTCTGAACTATGAACTCAATGAGTAGCCTTAGGAAAGCTACTGTCTCTTACTTTCAGACTCTGCACCTGTAATATGGCATAGTAATACTGGTCTTCCTTTTTAAGGTGGGTATATGGATTCCTGAAAGCTGATTTAAATAGTCAGCAGAATCAAAGCCTCCCTCTTCCACAGCAGGAGAGAAACAGGGCTGTACACCTTAGTGCTCCCCACCGATCATGTCACACAGAAGGCTATGCTGGAAGTCTTCTCGGTCTGACATACTGGTCTTCCATGCACAAAAACATCCTGCTCCCTCATAGTGAAGCATTAAAAATGCAGACTCTCCCCTTCAGCCTGAACTGGCAGAGTCCCACAAAATCTTTCCTACACAATTCTGTGAACTGTAATAACAAAAATAATGCTCCAAATAATGTATGTGAAGTCATCTGAAAGTTCAAAACTATTTTATTATTACAGTATTATTATTGCTATCATAGATAACATTATCACCCATTACATTTCCTGTATTCAAATAGGACCGTATTCTACAAAGCCACAAGGAAATTTCCCAGAGTTCTCCTCTGCCAAACTTTCAAGAGTAAAGACGCCTAAGGAAAAAAAGGGGGGTGGATTCTACTCTGTTAATGTCCTGGTTAAACAGAGTTTGGGTGCAGGAGGTTTCTTTTTGAAGACAAACTTGATTTTCTAGCCCTTCCATGATTTAAATCTGCTCTAAATGAGAAAAGAAGTAGAGTTACATGTTCAGTTAGGATGTGTTAAACCAAAACCATGTGAAAAAAGCAGGAGTCATATTTGGGGAAATGTTTTTATATTTGATAGGTGTCTCTCTAGAACTTCTGGAAAGTTTTACTGTTCAGGGCCAGGCAACAATTTTCTGAAATTCGAGAACTGACAGACAAGTAGCATGTAATTCAAAATTTCACTGCTAATTCCATCCTCAGCACTCTGATCCAGCTGAGAGTGGTGTTTTGGTTCAATTACAGGTTCTCCATAGTCCCTTGCAAAAGAAATGAGCTTCAAAACCAAAACTTCTGATCTACATCCCTCTCTGGGAAAGAACTAAGGGGGGGGGGGAACAGAGAGGAGGAAGGAACATACATAACTCATATCCAAATCACAGACTGATGATCAACCCACACGCTCCAGGAAAGGCCTGGGATAGCAATTAGGGAAGGGTTTAAGAAGAACAATAAGGTTTACTTGGACAAGGAAGAGACTGGGAGGGAGGTGCAGAGAATGGAAGTTTTTTGGATCGAGTGCTTTTAATTAGCCATATTTACCCCTGGTGGCAGTAAGGTGCAACAATTGAAAAAGCTATACTGTATATTCTGATAAATGTCCTGAAAAATCCACGCCCAAAATTCAGCCTATTTCCCTTGCCACCACAATCCCCTTCTCTTGCTTGCACATCCACCCACTCATCCATAGAGAAGCTGTTAGCATATGTATATATAGAAAGATTAGAGGTTTGGTGTACTATTTAGTTAATTGGATTGTGTCAGAGACCTTATCATCAGCTGGGAACCAAGCACCCAAATGGAAGGAGAGGGGCTTATACTTGGTACCAGCAAGCACCTCCTGTGTTTTCTTCTTTAGAACTGGTACAAATTTATAAAAACAAATTTACCAAAAAAAAAAACATATACATATCCGACAAGCAACTTCCAACTGTTACCTAGAAACAGTGGCTTAAAAACAGACAGAAGAAATTAAATAAGTTATGGGACTGTGTATCCAGCGCTGGGGAGTTAGAAGGGAATGAAGAGCAAGAGAATCAAATACTTACTTGGAAAAGAGGCATGTTCTAAATTTGTTCTGCTAGAAACACAAATGAGTATGCTTTCAATTCCGGGAGATGTGATGGAAGAGTTTAACAGGAATATGGCAGGATCATACAAACTGTGTATCTGGGGGCTCCGTACCCCAGCAATGTTAAATTGTCTCCTCATCCAAATGCAGAAAACACTCTTGCCTGTCTGTGGATTCGGGGAATTTTTTTCCTATGGGTGTCCACCACTCTTTTGCTTTTCACAGAATGAGAACTCAACCAACAAAACGTGATGTATTTATCAACACTATCAGATGGAACAGGGAAAACAGTGGCCAAAATGTGGAAGCATTCAGTGGAGTAAAATGGAAAGGGGATAGCCTGTGTCTCAGAGGGACATAGTTTCCTTAGGAACAATTTTAAAAAAATGGTTCAGCATGCAATGTTCAAAACAGACACATACTACAAAAGCACTCTAGCCCTCAGCTCTTGATCCAGTCCCCCCAACCCCTCCTTCGTCACAACAGTGTGGGTCTTTAAACACATAAACCGCCCAGAGCTTTAAAATCACAACATAATAGAGTCCTATTCTACCAATCTCCACCCCACAGAACCACTGTACAGTTTATGGTCTTTCTTAATAAGGCTGTCTCTCAAAAGCTGGCAAAAGCAGAGAAGGGCAACGGGGTGTCACCCCAGCTGGGTCAGGCCCAGGAAAGGATCACATTATACGTACAGTGGTTGGAACTGTTCCAGTGCTGGTTACGGACAGGGGTGTTGTAAGGGTTAGGGTTCCCGGGTCCTTTGTCCTGGATCAAGCACGCACGATTCTGGTTGTAAAAATCCATCATGAAGAAGGGGTTAGGACTGCTGTTTAAACCAGCTACATCCACACTTTCGTACATCTTCTCCAGGCGGAACAAGAGGGTAAATAGGGTTGGGGATTTGTTGGGGGAAGGGAAAGAGGGAAGCAGAGCAAAAGTTTGGTCTATGTAGAACCAAAAAGCAAAATGCTACAGTAACGATGAATCCAAAACGGATGGAGGGGAGGTTTGTCTGGTTGTTTTCTGATCGTTCTCTCTCTCTCTCCTGATCCCCAGTGAGGAGGTATTTAGGGAATCCAAAAGTGGCTAGGGAATCCGCCAAACAGGCCGAGTTGGCGACCAGTGTTTTTTTGCTTAAAGTGAAAAACACCCAAAAGATAATATTGAAGTCTTCAATCTTCCATTCCGGACGAGTCCCTCGGGGAAAAGGCTGGCCAATCCAGGCTGAGATGTTTCTCCCGTTTCAAGACCAAAATACATTTATAAATCCAAAAAAAGAAAAAAGAAAAACAGATCTTTTGCTTTTAAAAAATAATAGAATCCAAACCACTCAGCCTTCCCAAAAGCAGAATTCTTTATAGAAGTAGGTTCCCTGGTGTTAGACAGCATTTTGGTCACATTTCCTCCTCCTGTTCAGTTCCATAATTCTCTCTCCTTCTCCCAAACTAACCAGAGGAAAGAAGGGAAAGGGAGGGGGGAGAGAGAGTATTCTTTTGCAGCAACTCCTTCCAGAAAAGAGGGGGAAAAGTTTCACACACACACACACATACCAAAAAAAGAACAGAAAAGAAAAAAAAAGTAAAGACTTCCTCACTAGAATTCGAGAGCTTTTTTCCTGTCAGATGACTGAATGCACATCCACATAAATTGTGCTCATGGGTTTTGTGTGTGTGTGTGTATGTGTGTGTGTGTGTATGTGTGTGTGTGTGTGTGTGTGTGTGAGAGAGAGAGAGAGAGAGAGAGAGAGAGAAACAGACAGAGAGAGAGAGAAAATGTGCTGTATTTATATAGAGATGTATGTATATGAAAAATACATCTCCGTCTCCACCACAGTAGTGAAGGAGAATTAAAATGTACAAATCTGATGCCTGTTAGCTTTTCAGTGCTTCAAAAAATGCCGGGGCCTGGAACCTCCGAATCTCCTTGGATAAAGAGGATTTTTCTCCAGCTGCTTGGTCCTCCACTCCCTGGGAGAGAGAGTGCCTGTGTGTGCATGCACAAGCAGGCGTGTGGTGTGTGTGTGCGCGTGTGCATGTGTGTTTGTGTGTGTGTGCGTGTGAGAGAGAGAGACAATGTGTGTGTGTATGTGTGAGAGAGTGATGTACAGGACTGATAGATTAAAGGCAGCACAAAATCTTTCCTGACACGGAAAAGTCGGCTCTCAGCTGGCTTAACTCTTTCCTTACCTGCCGCGTGCTGTGTCTTGCGCAGCCCCAACCAACTGCGGTAAAGCACAGGCTGGGGGAGGAGGGGAGAAAGAGAGTGAGAGCGAGAAATGAATGAATGAAATAAAGAAAAGGGGAGGAGAAATGGAAAGGGGGTTGGAAATGACAGCCATTAAAAAAAAATGCCTCTCCAACAGCTGTCTCCAGCTCCAAAGCTGCGGACACTACATCATCATCACCGTGTGCTTTCTCCCATCCCTGGAGCGTCGCAAGAAGGAAAAGCAGGAGGGACGCCTCTTTTTTTGTTGTTTCAAGGAGCTGGCCAGGGCGGCCCCTTTTGCCTGCATCACCCCTCTCAGAAAAGGAGGTTTCTCCTGCTCCTCCAGCCGCCCCTCATTTGCGTAATGTTATGCAGCTGAACTCCGCCTGAACTCTCCTTGCAAAAAAGCTTCACCTCCAAATGACCCATTCACAGGCCTTCTCCTTCCCAGTGACATCACAGGGGTGCTCCCCCCCCTTCCTCCTTGCCTGCCAAGGGCTGCCACCGGCATGCCTCCGCCACTACCGCCACCACAGGGCAAAACACCACCAGACACAACGGCATCATTCTCAGAGGTGGCCAGCAAGCAGGGACCACTTTAAAAAGGGGCCGACAAAGTGAGCAAAGGAGAAGAAAGCGAAGGTGGTTTATACAAATGCTTCAAATGGGTGATGATGCTATATCCAAGCAACACAAGCAGGTTTGCACTCATTCACATAGCCCTGCCAAAGGACGTGGATTTGAATACCACCTAGCCCAATGCCCCTATCGAATAAATGAGGGTGGCAGAAAGCGGAAGGTGCTGCATCCATTTTGATCTTATACATGCTTTGAACATTAAAACCCAATCAATGCCTCTGTGGCTCCTATTTCCAAATAAAGTACTGTAGATCAAGTTTTGCTAAGCTAACTAGTATTTGAAATATAGGATGCAAACCTTCCAGTCATACAGGATTCTTCACCAAGCTGATGTTTGAAAAGAAGGAAAAGAAGGAGACAGAGAAGAAGACTGATAGCTGACCAGAGGTCATAACTGGGGATTTCCAGCTCACTTAATGCGCTCTTAGCTGCTATGCTATATCAGTTCATTTTTTAAAAATAAGACACTGATCTCAGTTTCTGGAATGCACAGGGTTTTTAAAAAAATACAGAAAACTCTCATGGCAAACGAGTGTTTGCAAGGAAAAGAAGTTAATGAATGTGACAGTACTGAATTAAATCTGGAAGACAGAGGTCAGGATACAAAACATGCTGTTCAGTACTGATGTTAAGTGGCTCTTACGCAATTTTGAAAATCACAGTTCTTGCATAAAACATCAAGTTTCCAGACATTGCAGCTGTGGAGTTATTGGGACACTTGTAACTTACATACACACTGGGTGCAGATTCCACCGATATGGTTTGTCTTCTACAAAGCAACATTCCGGGAAAAACATACATAAGCCCAGTTGTATGGACAGTTGCATATACCTGTAACACACCTGTTCTCAGACAAAGGAATGCTGAGTGAGAGCTATTTCACTCAGCTGGAAACTTTCCTCTGTATGATATATTCATTTATTCTGCAACAGAATGTACTGCACTAGCTCATGAACCACAGAATAAACTGGAATCAATTTCTCTTTTTAAAGAACACTCTGAACGTCAAATGGAAGTGTTTAATCTCATAATGGATTGGTTCATACATACTACAGAACAGTTATAACTCAAAGCCCATTCAACAGCAGGTTGTTGTCAAGTGAGGAAGCCATAGAAGTGATTTAGGCCACCAAGAAATAATTAAGCTAGTCACACAATGTAAAGCAAAATGAGTAATTTTCTACAAAAAATTACAAAAATAAAGAAATACAACTATTCCAATCTTATTGTGAAGTAAAAAATTAACTTCACCAGCTACAACATGTGAAACAACAAGGCTGTCTTTTAGAAAGTGCCACACATGCACCCACATCCATGTTCTTCAATCCAGAATTGCCAGAGACTAGGTGGAATATGCAGAAATGACCATAGTAACAATGCTAGTGTATGTGCTTGGAAGGAAGGAAGGAAGGAAGGAAGGAAGGAAGGATGGAAGGAAGGAAGGAAGGAAGGAAGGAAGGAACGAACGAACGAACGAACGAACGAACGAACGAACGAACGAAATCTCAAAAGGTAAAATTAGAGATAGTGGTTTATTACAGGAACATTGAAAGCTACCTTATTCTAAGTCACACCATTGGCCAATTTCCAAAGAAAGAGCTATGCTAATCTGTCTCAACGTGTTGACAAAATTAAAGAAGAAAAAAGAAAAGAAGGAAAGAAAGGAAAGAGGAAAAAAGCAAAATATTGTAGCACTCTGAAGAATAACAAATGCATTTCAACATGACATTTTGTGGATCAAAATCCACTTCTGCTGACACAGGAAGTGTAAACATATGTCCTCTCTCCCTCTCTCTCTCTTTGTGTATCCCCAGGAATATTGCTTGATAACAATTTGATGTTGCTGAAAAACTTTCTCTGTGTGATATATTCATTCAAAGTACTGTACATACCCTCAAGTCAGTTCTGATTTATGATGACCCTTTTCCACGGTATTATAGAGTACAGTACGCAGAACTGGTTTACCATCCCCTTCTTCTGCAAGTGGGTGCCCTGGGACTTTGCAGCTTACCTAACACTAAACAGCTACATCTTCTCATCAGGAGGCATTGTGGCCACTTGAACTCCCAGCCTCTGGCTCCACAGCCAGATGCCCAACTCAGGGCATGACTACACTGCAGAATTAAATCAGGAGTTGGTTCAGGTTTTTAGAAATCAATTAAATGCCATGGTTTTTTGTGTTGGTGCGTGTGTCCTCATGGGACAACTTTTAATGTAGCTGTAAGCTGTGTGGTATATATTGGCACTTCAGTGCTGTGGACCCAGTTTTCCCAGTTTTTCTCCTGTACTTGGCCCTCAAAACTTGGCAAACCCTGCAGATCCCCACCAATGCTATTTACTCCAGCACATGTGATCATACATGACAAATGAAGTTTAAAAAGTGAGACCAGAATTGATTTAAAATAAACAACCCTCATGTGGGTGTTTAAAAAAACCTGCTTCCCAGTAAAAAAAAAAATGCACACTTAGCTGTACATCATGTAGTTGGAGATTCTGATTTGATTTAGCCGGTTATGTATAAATATAGAGGACATGCATTTGTATTCTCTGTATGTGAAGAAGTGGGTTTTGATCCATAAAATCATGCAATGTATCCGTCAGTCTTTGAATGCCACTATATTTTGCTATACAGTATCTCTCTCCTCCATGCACCTCAGGATTGTGTACATTCACAGTAACTCTACAGGATTTCAGACAGTGTTCTCATGGAGTCCCAAATGAATATGCCAAGCACTGAACTTGGGGGATTCTGCAAGCAAAATATGTGCTCTACAAAAGCCCCTCTCAATTAGGAACAGGCCAAAAAAATGGTAATATATAAGATATTTCAGCAAAACGAATAAACAGAAATGTACATATTTTAGTACTTCTGTTTATGGGCAAAATTTGGTATTGGTCATAGATGTTTGGGTCCTGAGGTTCTCTGATTTCATTCTTATGAAGAAGAGGTAATTTATTCCTTAAATTTGATATGCTAAGCTTGAAAGTACATGGTCAATGCCTGATGAAACCTGAATGTTGCTAGCTGGGAATTTTAAGTACTGGGGTGACTGTACCATATGCTCTTTGTTCAAACCATGAACAGCATATGAAAAATAAATTATACAGGGTACAATATTAAAACAATATGCTTCATTTGAACATTTCTGACAGATTTGTCTTGAATTTGGACATTCACAGTGCAGAGTTTTGTAATCCTGCTTATAACTGTAATGGATTTTGCACAACAGATTTGCAATGAGAATCAGGGATCAAGTCTTAGAGAACATTCTTATTACCACATACATATAAATGCATATTAGCTTTGTATTCTAGGGCCACAACTGAACCTTCGTAACCAGAGCAGTCCAACAGAAGTAAAGGAATTCTGGAGTGGAATAAGAACACCTTTACTATGTGTACACCGCACTGTCTATCTACCTTTGTTTTACTCCGGGGCTCCTACAACCCTGTTTAAAATGCTCCAAATGTCATGAAGTAAACGCTCCTTTACTTACTACTTGCAAGGCTGCAATATCTTCTACCTCTCAGTTACATAAACCAGACGACACAAAGTATCACAAGTAGAAATTAGGACTTGTCAAGTGCCACAGAAAACAGCTCGAGGTGACTTGAGAAAGGGAACAATGTTGTGCCCTCCTTCAACTCCTGGACTATTTATGTATTTATTTATTTATTTATTCATTTCCATTTCTATACCACCTATTAGTGTTGCCACTCTATGGGCTGTTTACAATATGCAATAAAATCATAACAACACAATATAAAAAAAAACAAAAAATACAATGAAATATAATGAAACCCTGTCACTAGGAAAAAGCGAAAAAAAGCAAAATGATCTG